GAAGGGGGAAGTCTGCTGCTGGCCGGGGGCCGAGGCCCCTCAAAGAAGTGGACCAGCCCAGGAAGAGGCTTCTGGGTACACAGGTTGACAGGCCTCCCTGGCCTCACCTGAGGCACAGGTTGAAGGGCCTCACCTGCATGCCCAGCCTCATGTTGCAGAAAACCTGAGCTCTAGGGCCTGGGTCATCCTTCAACTTGTCCTGTGCTCTGGCGGCCCTCCAGGTGCCTCCTTCTGCACATACTAGGGAGTGCCACCCTGCCTGCCCCGAAGTCACTGCTGGGTTCTGTGAGTCCTTTTGCCAAAGTTGAAATTATAGCTGACTTTCCATAGTAGATCTCAAAGACAGACACTTGGAGCTTCGTGTGGCCTTGCCTCCACTAGGTGGAATCCTGACCATGGGGTGGGTCTCTCAGGGATCACTACCTGACAGCTTTCTGCCCCCTCTGGGACCAGACCTACCTCTTATGTCTTGAGTGGGGGAACTACAGATACCTCCTCCTCGTTCTAGTTTTTCCAAAATAGACAATAACCTTGAAGAACTGTTATGACAGTGAAAAACAAGCTTATGCTGGGTTTCAAAACAATAATTTTATCCTGAAAACCTTGAAATTATCAGTAATTCTTTAGAGTCCCAGGGCACCCAGTGACTGACAGTGCATCACAATGAAAATATATGTGTGGCCTATGAGCATCTGAACAATTCCAGTAGGACCCCCTCCCCTTTTTTAAATCAAGGTGAGATTCTCAACACAAACTTTAACGTTTTAAAAGGACCAATTCAATGACATGTAGTATATTCAGTGTGGTGTGACCCCGCCTGTATGTAGTTTTCATCACCCCATAAGGAAACCACTGACCCATTAGCAGTCTTTCCTCACCTCTAGCCCCCAGCCCCTGGTTGCTTTCTGGGGCTACAGATTTGCCTATTCTGGGCATGTCATATGTTACATCAGATTTTTTGGATGTGGCTCACTGCACAGTAACACTGGGCTCTGCAAAAGGCAGAACTCAGATTCTTGAAGCTCTGAACAAGAGAAGGCTGCCACAAGGGGCCACAGGGGTTGCACCCAGTAACAGGGCAACAGCAAGCTGGAGATGTAGGGACAACTTACGCCTAGTCAGTAAGTGGGGTGGCTGTCTGTGGATTCGCAAATTTGAAGAATTTGTGGGCTCTGGGGAATTGTATTCGTTCCTAGTTGTCTGGAACCTGACCCCAGAGTGTAGGAGCCCAATAAGGAGTCCACAGGGGTGTGTTTAGTGGCCCCGGAGAGTCGGATCCTGATACAAGAAGTGGTGGACAATGGGAGCTTACACATTGCCCATTAAGGACAGAGAGAAGAGACTTTCCAGCTACAACTTCAAAACTAGGTCAAGAGAGCTCTTGTGAAATATCGTATTACATCATATAAATGGAATCATATAATATGTGGCCTTTTATGTCTGTGTCTGGCTTTTTTCACTTAACAAAATGTCCTCAGGGTTCACCCACACTGTAGCATGTGTCAGAATTTCCAACCTTTTTATAATATTCCATTGTATATACAGACCATTTTGTTTATCCATTCATCTGCTGATGGACATTTGGTTTGTGTTCATCTTTTGGCTTTGGTCAATAATGCTGCTGTGGACATGGGTATACAAGTTCTTGAGCATGTGTTTTCAATTCTTGTAAGTATATACCCAGGAATAAAATTGGCTGGTTGTATGGTAACTGTGTTTAACTCATTGAGGAATGACCAAAATGGTTTCCATAGCTTTTTTCCATTTTGTGAACACCATGTTAGTCAGTTGTCCATTACTATAACAAAATAACTAAGATAACTTATAAAGAGAACAGACTTGTTTTGCCTCACAGGTTTGGAACTTTCATCTGTGAACAATTGGCCCCCTGGCTTTGGGCCTGTGCCAAGGCAACATGTCATAGCATGTGGACATGGCAGAGCAACAGCACTCACCACCACACACAGAAGCAACAAAAGGACGAGGAAGAGGCCAGGGTCCCACTATTCACTTCAATAGCACACCCTCACTGACCTAAAAGCCTCCCACTAGACCTCATCTCCCAATACCTTAACCCTGGGGACCAAGCCTTTAACACATGGGCCTTTGGGGATCATTCTAGATCCAAACTACAGCAAACACTATCAAGTATACAGACAAGTAGAAAGAAGAGTCTAGAGAATCCCAGGTTCCTACTGTCCATATTTAGCAGTAATTGCCATCTTGCCTTATTTTGCTTCATCCTTTTATATAT